TACAATGTTTCTTTGATTAATGCTCCTGTACATGGTCTCTGTAAAATAAACAAAATAAACAATTATACATCCATTGTGATTTACCGGTGACTGGTGCCAATACACATGACACTACACATGATAAAATATGATAACTACCTCCAATTATGTTCCTACTGGTAGTATAGGCATTTCAGTTCTATACCTGGTGTCTGACATTTTAGGGTGGAGTTTGCATGGTCTCTCTGTGCTTCAACAATTTTCCTCCAGACACTGTTTTCTCACATCACCCTGGACATTTTTAGCTAATCCTCCAACAAAGTAATCCTGACCAAGATCTGGGCTCAAAATCTGAAGATGGGTCCCTGGGTGCTGCTGACAGGTTGCCTAGAAACACTGGCTGAAGAATGCCCCAAAAAGAGAAAGAAGAAAGTATAAATATAAAAATTTTGAGCATACATGCACATAAGGGTAAAAACTCTGCTAGTGCTACATTTTATTAATTCAGGGCTGATCTGAAAAAAATAAAAAAATAAAAATAATTTATAATTCAGTCATACATCATTTTTGTCATACTTAATTACATAATTATCAACACTTGCCTCAGTGTAGATTCCCTGCTCTTTTTCAACACATCATTCATTGCAGCTTAACTGAATACAAGTCTCACTACTCACTCACTACATCCTGAGAGAGATGGTGCCCATGTGTCCCTTAAGGCACTCCCTTCACAAAACCCATTCACTTTATAAAGTAGCAGCCAATAGCTCACGATTAAATTCAGAGGGGGTGTTTGATATGGAAAATGGCAGCATTACACCGTCAAAAGAAATGAGAGGGAAAAATACTTGGGTACTACAGACAGGTGAGTGTCAAAAGGGCTTCTGCTCTTGAATAGAGAATGCAGTTTTGAATAGTCGTGTAAACCATCAAAATTTTATGGTATACTACAAGACAGAACAAGAAGCACTATAAGGCTGGATGTGAATGAAATTGGACACAAAAACCTAAAATGAAAGAAAAAAAAATCAAAGCGTAATTTTTGGTGATGTATTGGACACTGACAAATGGTTAGCTGAGGGTGAATGGTGGAAAAATGTGGATCAGACATGATGCCCTGGGTTTAAAAGTAAAATGAATTTGAGTTTTTTAGAGTTGAACATGTATATGTATTTATGTAACTCAACGTGACTTAAGATGCTGCCACTTATAACTTATTTAAGTTATTTGCAATTATTAGTTTCCTGTTTTACAAAATAAAGAGGTCGACAATATATAAGTATCATATTTGAATGAGAGAGTTCATGCTGAAGTTGGATACTGAATGAAACGTGCTATTGACTTTCCTGTCCGGCATTGAATTGAAGTTCAAGAGGCCATCCAAACATTATGGCATGTTGAACGACCATTGCAATAAGCTGAAGAGTTGTAAAAGTGACAGCCATTGAAAAGGAGTAGGCAGCAAATAGACTAGAAAAACATAAGAGACACAGAAATCAATAAAGTTCTATATGTAGCATCAAGTATGTAGCTTTCCTTGGACAGTCAGTCGACCCAAAAGGTCCATCTCAACATGTCTCTGCGGAGCAGCACGGATAACATGCAGCACTTGTCTACATCCATCCATGTCTTTGGACACACTTATATATCTAACCCGCCTCTCTAGCCCCTCATTTGGTTCTGGAGCAGGGAGCAGGACTTATGGATGAGCCACAGGTCTGATCCATCTTCGGGTCTGGACAAGGCTTTGGTCAAACGCTCATAACTCAGAGGGATCCTGCGGTCGGAGCAACACTGCCTGACAGAGGAGAAGAGGAGAGGGTAATTTACGGGCTGGACAGGCAGGGAGCATACTGTATCCACTGCTGGGGAGAGATGCAGCTAACATATGGATGTCAAGGCTGTGGCGAGATGGGAAGTGGTTTAACAGGTACAGGTGATGGAACATGTACCTGAAAGTGTACAGCTGTAATTGAATCCAGAGTTAATAAGAAAAGGCTTTCAGGTCACTGTTGGTTTGATGGGATAAGCTCAGTAGAAGGGGTTTACAGACAGCAGGGTTAACTTCTATTACAGTTCAAAGCATTACAACAAATGGCAGAATTAATTTATTCTATCCCACCTATTAAGGTTAGAAGTCACAGTTGGTTATTGCTATCCTGACAAATTTGAGCTTAGTGTAGTACAGGGCTGGTACAATATGGACAGTGCCTATATCCGCACTCTTGTACACTGAGCATAAAGGACAAAAACTGCTATCAAGTATGTAATGTTAAGTCAGTTCACAATTTTAAGTAGATTTTCTTCATTTAATATTTCTGCTGTCAACGTGGCGCTGCTTTTCAGGACTACAGCTTCTTGAAAAATAATTTTCCAGCGCTTAAAAGTGCATTGTGTGACTTTTCTGGTGGAGGATTTGTTATTGCTTTGTCAGAGATGTTTCACAGTATAGTATTAAACATTTCTATTCTTCATGGAGACCAAACCAGGCCAAGTTACAGGTCAGATCTGTGGAGAAGAAACCCCACTCAGAGCCAGAATGTTTGTTTTTCTCGGTATTTTTTGTGCTAACTACCTGTAATTTAGGTAGGTTAGGTATCGGAGAGCGGGTTAATGTCATACTGTGTAAGATTCCAGGCAGAACAAGGACATATCCATAGAAAGACGCAGCTGACGGACCCCCAACCAAAAAGTTACATAGTGCACCTTTAACTCAATTTTTTATCCATTCCAAACATAAAAACATAGGGAAAGATGTGCACAATCATGTCCCACCCATATTTGTTTTTTGGGGAAACATGAATAGAAATGATTTATATAATTTCCTACTGACCAGTGACATGTAAAATCTTGTCTAATTTGATTTCAGAAGGTGTGTGTTTTTTTGTAAACAAAGTAGGTAAACATCTGGTTTGAACAATAGGCTTAGAAATGTAGTTTCTCCAAAATGGCAATGCATGTATGACACAGAACATTTATTAACCTAATCTGAAGTATATGAAAACTAAATAAAGCAAAAAGTGACTCACAACTACAGCTGTGCAACTTTTTTGTTTACCATATCGAACCTTGTACTGTGGATAAGGACGTAAAAAGTGACATGTGCGATGGATTACAGAGGTTCTGGGTTGTCAACATGTTTGATACTTTTTCTTTATCTTTCTATATGTGTATGTTTAGGGAGCTTTTTTCTGCAGGGCTAAGAAAATGGAAAGCTGGTAGTTGCATTATATACTGGTCTTATCAGTGTGATAAATGACTACATAGTGAAGAGAGAAGCTGTGACTCTTCAGATAACGAAGGATGAATGAAGCAATAGGGAGGAATTGAGGAAGGAAAGGAGGGAAGGAGAGAGATTAGGAGGTACATTGTGCTCAGTGGAGGCTCATGGGACTTTGTTAGTGTAGTGTGTGATCATTGATTAAAGAGCTTTATGTACTTCTACCTACAGCACTAGGGAGGACACTCTCACCTCTGCTGTTCCTTCTGTCCATCCTCACGCCCCCTCTCTCTCCTCTGTCTCTATCTGAGTCGACAGCCAGGCAAGCCGCTGTAATTTTCTCTCAACTATAACTGACAACCACAAAAGGTCAGTGGAAAGGGAGGGGCCGCACACCTCTAATCACTCAACAAGGGAAGAGCACTTAGTCCATTCAAATGTCATCACAAAGGAAAGACTGATAAAGACTCAAATACACTTGTGTCCTCCGTGTCTGCCAGTCCTGCTCATTTTCTCATTTGTTTAACTGCCATCATTCATAGTCTCCCAAGTTCAATCAGGAAAGCTCTTTCATTCAGAACTTCCCCAAGACCACATTAGAAGTCATGCACTTTATATACTACAGCTGAATCAATGGTTACTATCTTGAGTTGCACACTTAAGAATTTCACCTTTACAATGTCAATGGATCCAATGCAAAATTATTGACTGGCAAAAAAAACGAATGTAATAACATATGACTCACGACACTTGAAAACAAGTGAATTTATGAGATTAAAGAAAGGAAGAACTAGTTATAAATTCGGTTGAAATCTGGCTCCAAAATAGCCTCTGGTATACCTGTTATAGAACTAGTATACGTTGTATATTTATGTTGATCTACAGTAGCTAGCATAATCATACACTACAAACTCAGTTTCAGTACTCATTTTGGGCAGCTTGATAAATGATCTGCAGCAAAGTTTTTAAAAATGTATGATGGACTCTCCAAACGCCAGGCGCTCTGAACAATGTGGTAATGCGCAATAAATGTACTTAACAGTCCTGTAGGGCCAATATCAAACCCTGCCTTTTGTAAGGTTATGGCCACATGAGCCCCTGCAAACGATTTATGTGTTTGTGCAACATACTACACAAACTCACAGCTGTCGCAGCTATGAATACAACATCAACACAAGACAACCCTCTAGAAAGATCAGGATTGCCAATCCCACACACCATTTAAGACAAAGCGATATGTAGCACTCAAGCATGCCATTATTTAACACATTATAAAGACAAGAACAATAAAAAATGCAATAAAATTTAATGGGTCGGCACATCAAGTGAAGCCGAGGAAAGGGAAACTTAAAAAATAACTCCCCTCTTGCACATTATTAGATTAGTAGAAGGTCTCTCTGTCTTGTATTCGCTCGAAAAAGCATTGGCCTACTAATTACTAAACTAGGACCTGGTTGTTCTGGCATTTTGGAGCTGTCTGTGTACCAGCTCAGGAGCAGAAGAGAGAGGGGGAGAAAGGAGGAGGAGGGGGAGAAGGCTGGATTAAGAATACATGATGAGTGCTGGGCCGGAGAGCAAAAGCATGTAGACTCAAACAGCTAGAGACAGCAGGCACAGTAAGGCAGAGCAGTGGATTTTCAGAGCTCAAGTTAATGCAGCTGACTCTAACTGTACTACCCCTTCCCTTAGGATACTGTTAGCATGATGATGGTTCTGCCCCGTGCTAAGGTGAAAATTACACAAATTGATGCTGATTAGATAATCGCTTTGAATCAAGACGCCATTACAGACAGTGTCATACCTGAAGGGATGAGTCCGAACGCCCAGTTGGGAACCAGAAAGCTAAATGGTTGGTTCGTTTTGTCTTTATTGTTGTCAGTCGATTCCACCGTTTTCTTTTCTTCAGATTTTTTAAAAGGTGTCCACTTACTCCCCACTACAAATGACTCAGACACAGCAGATCTAGACTCCATTTGGGTAACACTAAGGCGCACCTCTGAGGCCTGTGTGGTGAGCTGAATTATGTCTGTGCTTGTCTCGCGGTCAGTGGAGTAGGAGCTGTCCCCTGGTAGCACCCATGAGATTGAGATAGACTCCTCTGTTGGGACCCTGACAGCTGGGTTTGGTGCAGTGGTAGGGTCTGTCCTCTCCATTTCTCTAGTCGCCGTCACTGCTGTAGTAGTCAGCACTTGTGTGGAGACCTCACTTGACTTGCTTTGTTGGGCCAGTGTTAGTTTAGTGTTTTTTGGAGTAAAAGCAGAGTTCAGTACACTTCTTGTCTCTTCTTTGTGTTGCTCAGTTGGTCTGCGCACAAAAAGGATCTCCCCTTTGGCCTCTTCAGATGGGGGGCCCTTAGGCGCAGTGGTGGGCTGCTCTACTAGCTGCCAACGGGACAGCGTAGTGTGTTCTGCCACGGTAACAACATCGTTCATGTCTTCACTCAGGTCAGACTCCGAACTCTCATTGCCTTTTAGCTCAAACATCTCCGCTAAAACATCCTCTCTCGCACTCCCCTCTGTGTCACTCTCCTCCTCTGAAGGTGGACGATTTGCCCCCTCCTCCTCTTCTTCTTTACCTTCGCCCGAGTAGTTTTCTGGGTTGTCGTGTTGCCTTGATATGGGCATGGTCATAATTTCTAACGGGGCGGCTTTGGCTTCCATAGGTTCCCAGTGGGGTTGGAGTTTCCCCACATAACCCATATTTCCAGGGGGACCTAGTTTAGAGGCGCGCATTGATTTGATGGCCCAGCGGAACTGACTGCTGGGGCCGGGGCTGAAGGCGGGCCCTCCCCTGGGACCCTGTGGGCTGGACACTTTGACAGAGTGCGGAGGTGGTTCAGTGGGGGCAGATGTGGAGAAGTCTGTAGGGAACAAAGAGACAGAGAGCACTTATTAATAAGGCTTCATTACAGAAGAGCTGCAGCGGGGGTGGCTTTAATTTTATGCATAACGAATTAGATGTGAGACAAAAGACTGGTTTGGAATGGACTACTGAAACTTTAAGTCAAATATGTATTATAATTATGTAAAAAATGGATGGAATAATTCCCATTCTTAATTTGCTATTTATTTATTTATGTATTCATTTTTCTCTTTCTTTCTTTGAATGCTGAACACAACAAGCTACTATTGTTACTGGGTTTGCCCTACCGGTTTTCAACTGGCCTTTAGGTTGGTTGGCCAGTGCTTAACCGCCATGACCTCCACCACCACCACCACCACTACCACCACAGTGAATAAAAATTAAATTAACTATATATAATTTTTGAAGCATAGCATTTCATGTGCTTAAACAAAACAACCTGACACATATTCAAATCTAAAAGTAATGTGGATAGTTTTGTGGTTCTGATACAAATTATACACTTTCTTAGAAGCTTACTTTTGTGGTAGATTCAAGGCAATTTCACACCTCTCTCCCTGGTTTCTGTTAGCCTGTGGAGTCTTTGCCTGAACAAACTCCATTAGGAATACTGCACAGCATGTAGTGAGGAAAACCTTGTGGAAAAAACCAGTAGACCACTTGAAACGTGATAAGCAAAACAACTCTCTCCATCTAGACCTGTTTATTTAGATGAAGTGGGCCGCTGTACTTTATCTGCTTACAGTCTTAAACCAGAGACTGTCTACATCATCAATAATTCACTTTCTGCATGTGTGAGTCATGGCCAGTGTGTCTTTAGAGCAGTCAACTTTTTCTTGCTCCTTCCAGTTTACGTGTGAAAAATACAAAACTGCAGAAGGGGGCAAGCTGCATCAAGACATGAAATGTATACACATATGTCATTAAATATTGAAGGATCTGTGAATTATTGAGTATGTCTGGTATTGTGCCTAAGTAAGGTTTATCAGCCCAAGGTTAATTTCCATAAAATCATGTAGAAGTGCATAATTGTCCTATCAATAATCCGAGTAGCTAATTACATACTGTTACGACACTCAGATTGAAGGCAGAATAATTAAAAGCATTAATCTGGGCAGATTGTCACCATAATGTTTGAAAATAAAAACAAGACAATTAAAGACAGGTTTAGTGATTTTCTGATTTTACATAGAGAGCTATACATTTGGGGAATATGTTTAGATACACTGTGCGTAGTTTTAGACAGGTGTGAAACCATACTGTTAAATTAAAGCAACAGTACGCAACATTTTAGCCAAAACAGGAAACAATAGATTTTTTTTGTGTTTTTTGCACTGGAAAACTTACTGCAAGTGGTTTTGCATCTCCAAAGACTGCTCACTGACACTTTCTTGGCTTAAAAGGAGGCCGTCCTGATGCTTACTTCCAAGAAAAATAGTTCCTTTCACTATAATCTTCCATAGTATATGGTGTGTAAGAAGTATCTAGATTCATGTACAGCATTTCCAAAGTTAATTCTACAGGCTTTGGTTCAAGGACACAATTAAAAACTAACTAGCAAATCCCTTTATTACTGGATGCTTAGAAGAATTGAATAATGTTTTGAGATTTTTTCATATATATTCTTTTGGGCATGCTGAGGCAGGTACTGACAATGGCCAAAGGGTGATTGAAGCTACAACACTTCTGCTTATGTTCTCATATGACATCTAAAAAGACAGTGGTGAAGTGATTGTTCTGACCATGTGTTTTATGTCAATCACTTTACAGGTCAGACTCTGTATTTTTCACATTTTGGAGTCCTTTGTCTAAAGTTCAAAGGGTTCAAAATGGCAGAGTGAATTTACTTAGAGAAGCGAGAACTTAGTTGTAGCCTGCGGCGCACCATTAGGCAGATAATTCATTCCACTGATGATACGGTAAGGGAAAAATAACATCTTGGTGCACATTTCCATCTCACCAACATAAAAGAAGAGTAGCATCATGGCTGTTCTTCTATGGCTCTGCTCCTCCTGATCATTACAGAGCACCTTCAGAGAGCTGCTTCCTAATTGGCTCAGACAGAGACGGAGGTGAGAACGAGCCCAACCTTCGCCGTAATTGGACACAGCGGTGAATAATGCATGTGGACTAAAGCTGGGGTTTTTATTAATACTATTTGAAAGAGGGGGAGGGAGGGGGTTCTGTGGTGGTTGTAATAGAAAAGTGTTGATAGCAAGCTGCGAAAATCAGTTTCATGGAGTCAGCCGTTTTGGTTGCATCAAGCAATTTTCATTACAGGTGTTCAACAGGTTTAAGCAAGCTAGAACTTATACAGTTTGTTGTCAAATTACAACTTGTCCAAAATTTTCCGCTGACAGAGGGATCAAAAGTGTTCTTTCTGCTAACCAATTCATGCTGTAAATAGGAATACATGAATGAAAAAAGAAAATAAAACATCAGTATGCCTGTATTTCAATTTGACTTCCATGTACAATCTGTAAAGAAACAGATTGCATTTGTGCTATGCTATCTACTTGAATATTATAGATTTCACCTTGTACATATGCGTTATTCTGAACCAAATTTCTTTTTAAAAATTTAACCAAAGCTGTGCAGTTACATCAGGACCTCAATATAGTCTTTGAAAAATATAAAAAATTTATACTGAAGAATTTCTCGGGGACAGCAGCTGAGAATGGTGACCTGTTGACCTGTTCTTTCTGTGGTGTATTAAAGTGCACTATTTCTCAGAAGATTCAGTCCAGTCTTTTTCACAGCTACACAAAACACTGAACTCTTAGGGTACGATTATATGATGACAGTCTGTACAGAAGACGCAAAAGTGGCTTTGCATCTTCCCTTTTTATTCTGCGTTTAGACAAATGTTTTCAGGAGGAAACCTTAATTCGATTGGGTATGCATGCCAGGCAGCTAGGAGACATAAGGTGGTGATGTATTTGATGTAAACACATATGCAACGTGAGCGGATCTGACCAGAGTTTTGCGTCTTGGGCAGTGTAGATGGAAATGCTACGGCGGAGCATATTCAAGATTTCCACTCTGGAGGGTGGTTTCAGATTTTTGCGTTTTTAAGCCCCAAAAACGCGGTCACCGTCTAAATGAGAGGCACTTCCAATAAAATATTTTGTTGTTTTTACCCGCAGGCGTTCTCGTGTAAACAGGCCCTTAAATTGAATTTTAGTGACAGCTATTTTATGCACTTAGGTGTAATGACAGCATTTATACCAGTGATTCTAAAAGGGTGAAGAAAGACCACGAAGAGAAAATCAGCTTCTGTTGGTGGTGCTTTGAAGAGGTGCTATACTTCTCAACCTGGAATAGAATTGGAAGTTATCCCAGGTTGATGTTTGTTTAACCATTTGTTTAGACCCAGATGTATGGTTAAGTCCTAGTTAAAGTTTATTTTAGCTTAGTTACTGACTGTTCATTTCAAGTTATATTTATATTGTATTTATTGTTATTTTATTTTTGTCGAATCTCTCTTAGTCCTGTTAGCACAATTTATTCCTTAGTGATACTTTAAAAGTTGTTTATTGTCTGAGGTGCAGCTTTTTATGAAATGTTAAGAGTCACTTGCCTACTCTAATGTACTGCAAATTGCCGCTGGCGAAAAGGCGAATTTGTGAAGCATATCTACTTCACACTGAGCCAAAATCTAGTTAATATTTATGATATGACTGAAGCGTGGACAAGGCTCTTTGTCAATAAATCTGAAAACAGAGGAAAAACACTCTCCTTTACGACAATTTGCATGTATGGCGCTGCGCTACAGCCCTTGTGTTTGCTTGCAATTACAGTTTAATTAAATTTACGTCTCTACTTCAAATTGCCCTGCGGAGGAATATATTACAGCATCCTTGAGGGGAAGAGATGAGAGAGCGGAATGCCGAACTGGTTTAAAAAGCATGACATAAATATATCCTGTATTTACCAGTGGCACGTGAACACACCATATTGCAAATGAATACTCCAAATGGTTCTTTTCAATTTCAAATCAGTTAGTGAGTGTAAGGGTGAAGTAGAGGACAAACCATTAGCTGTGGTGCCAGTAGCTGCTTCTTCATGTTGCATGCTGCTGTCCCTTTGCTCTGTGTTGTGAACAGCAGGCTGCAGTTTTACCAGCGGCATCACCTCCTTCTCCTGCTCAGACAATCCCTCTTCAGAAGACTCTATTCCGTTTGTAGAGGGGTGAAAAGAAAAGCCCCTATGCTCAAGTATTGCATTGTCCAAACTTCCCTTGTCTGTTTTGGGCTCACTCAGATTATTACTGGGCATCTCGGTCAATACATGGTTCTCTGTTGCTTCTTCTACAGGCATTGACGTTCCTACTTCTGCATCCTCCATTGCCTTGTCTCCAGTCAGGTACCTAAAAGGCTTCATTAAAGTATGGACAAAGTCAGCTAGTACACTGTTGCTGCTCTGGGGGTGTTGAGCTGAAGATGTTGAAATGTTGGCTGAATGCCTGTCTTCTTCACTGTCTTCTTCTCTAGCTGCACCACCATGGCTTTCAATGTTCTCCTGCTCTAATAGGCCTAAAGCATTGGAGTTACTATCAGGCATTAGATGAATCATGACATGCTCCTCGGAAATCTCAGAGGAATTGTCAGTATCTGCTACAGAGCGGATATTTGAGTTTTCCAAGTTGACAAGACCTGTCCAGGATGAGGTCTCAGCATAGGGGGAGCTTCTGTGGGTTTCACCGACTGACGACATGGTTTCTTCCTCTGGTTTGGAGGCCTTGTACACAGCCTCTACTGCTTGGACTCCGAGTGGCTGGTGGGCTGAAACACAATAACAGTATTTTACCGCAAGCAAATGTACTATTTCAACTGACCTGCCTTATCCGCCTGACAACAACACAGAGTAAAATTCCCACACTGCTCCAAGGGCTGTAAACCTGTCATTTCTGCAGGAGCTTTATGCATTCATCACAAGTCTTGAAAGATGTAACATTTTAAGCTACATAGTTCTTGTTCTACATAATTCTTGCACTAATGCACTACCTTTTCCCTGATCATTTTTGATATAGTGGCTGACCACTGCCGACCACAATTTGCACTTTGTATCAGATAAAACATCCTTCAACTCCTCAATATCTTTGCTAAGACATTATTATGATTATGCTTTTTTCCAGGTATATAGTATAAATTTGTTGCTCACTAGTATGATCTACAGAGTATGATCCAGCAGAGCTATTTTTACAATGGAAGTCAGGTGACTCCTTTCTTTTATTAAGTCTTTTTAGACCAATATTGTGATTTAAAATGTCCGAAATATAACATGATGATCCACAAGTGTCATAGATTATAACTATTTAGCCGAACACGCAAAAGTAAAAAAGGACAATATGACAACTATAACATATCTGACATGCTATAACATTATTTCATATTGATATCAACAAGAAACACAGTTTTTTTTTTACATTTGCTTATACTGTGTCCAATCCACGAAGAGATGGATGAATATGCAAGCTTCCTCACTTCAGTTATCAGTGGTCTCTGTATTTTCAGACTTGTATATATTTCTTATCCACTTTCAGAAAATGGAAAATAGCAATCGGGACAAGAGATTTTAATGGACATGTTATTGTTTCCTGTGAGGCGTTGATGGCTTAAATATTAATGTAAACATCGTCGCCGAATGCATGAAGAGCTTTATTTATCATGTGTTTGTTTTGACAAATGCATGGCCCCTCCCCTCCTGCTGAGTCTGTTTGCCTAAAGTGATTAGGTTATGCAGATGTTTTGCTTCAGTGAAGATATTACGGCTCAAGAGCGTGAAAGATGAAACTGTCATTCTGTCTGTACAATTACAATGGGCAGAAGTATATTGCATTTTCAAGTGGGGCCTGCTTGTGCATGTGAACTAGCTGTAAAAAATATAAGGTGAAAAATATCTATTGAAAGGGACTAGTTGGCTGCATTTCTTTCTTTTGGGGTTTTATTCAGTAAGGCAAAGCATATGATAATAATAAATAATTATACAAAAAATATTAAAAGGAGAGAAATAACTTGGAATTTCATTTACCTCCAAAACAGAATGCATCAAATAGTGCAGTAGTATCAGGAAATCCAGTTCGGTTGGGGTTGCTGTAAACTGTCCGTACTCCGGGCTCGTCTCCTCCACAGTTTTTCCGGGGAACGTTGATGGGGTAGCGCACGCTGCCATCTGCTAGCCAGCCTGGGTCACACTGGTCCAGTCCGGCCTGCCATGCCAGGTACAACTGCCCCACTGTAGCCAGCTGAGCCCCCAAAGAGTGACAGTGAGTGGAGGCTGTGGCCAAGTTTAGCTTCTCTGGCACGGAGGTGTGGAAGACATCACCTGCCAAAAGAACATTTAGAACTAGCTCAATTTACTTGTCTGGTAGAGAATCTGTCACTTGCTCGTCCCCATGGAGATGTTATTACTTTGTGTGGAATGTTCCATGGTATGGCATTAAACATTTCTATATACTATAGATTCTTCTGCACTTAAATGTAAAATCTTTAAAAAAAAAATAGCTTGATCTTTTTCTTCTTACTGAGAGTAGGGTTGCATCACCAGATTTTTATTTTTTTTTATTTTTTATGGAGATCAATAAGTGTTATGCTATGCTGTGGAACATTTAAGACAAAGCAATAACTTCTCTACGGAGACAAGGGGATGGCAGAACTTTTACCAGCACCTTAAACGATATGGACAAATCCTTTATTTGAGATGGAGCCCAGCATTTTGTTTAGTAATCTAAAGAGGATGCTGTAATGACAGATGAAATTTCTATATTGGATACAAATATGTATTTACTTTTTACTCCAGCTGGATGTTTTGACATGATGTCAAATGTGAACACACTTTTACTTTTCTTTTTAATTACATTCAGATGAATTCATTTAAATGCAGTTTATAAGCCAACTAAACTGGACTGAAGCAATATATTGTAGTTTTACAGTGACAATTAAATTATGTTTTAAAGTCTAGTATTATACTTGTTTTGCTGGCTTCTGCATTTTTAAAAGATATTGTAGCTGTGCCAACTTTGGACTGTCATTGTGTTTTGTTTTTTTTTTACTTAGAAGCTGCTGTGCCTGGCAGGCTCTTCATTTCTTTTGTTGGCTTTGTTGAAGATGTAGCAACTCTAAGATGAAAGAAAAGTCACTTGAATATAAATATATTTATATTTTTGAGGTTTGTAATAAACAGAAATAAACAAAAAGACAACTCTAATTCAAAACAGGTGTGTAAAGTAAGAGAACAGCTGAACCAATAAAATGTGATGAAAGTTCATGTAGATGAAAATGTATGGAGTCTGCTATCACAAATCCAGTGAACAAACAAGATAAGTATTTTAAACATCTGGATATGTTACAATGACAACAAGAATTAGATGCTTAAATGAGCCTATGGTTGTGGATTTCATTTAAAAGCTTTTAGTCACTGCATGCAAAAGAATAAATATTGGATCAACTGACATAAACAATGCCCAGACTTTGTAAAGATCTTAAGAAGCTGGAAATAATACAATACAAGACTCCACCATAAACACTGACTTTATAATTTCAGCTCTTGGTTATTTTCCCAGTCAAAACACCAGCGATCAATCACATAGTCATTTTCTATTGTTAGAGGGTAATTATCTCCTGATTACTTTAATCAGCTGCTTAATTGCACAGAGTGTAACAAACACTTGTGTGTGTGAGACCTACAGGTGTCCATATGATCTGAATCAGTCTCACACAGAGACTTTAATGTCCCTCAAATAAACTGTGAAATAATAACAATAAAATATAACTTATTTTCATTATGGTTTCAAATTCCCAAAATATACAAGATTATAATACTAACAACTGTGACTGTATAAGAAGCTAATATTGACCAGGAATAATTTGCAAGTAAATACCACTTAAATGCAACTATAACACTAGTTTATGCTTCTGTGTATGCTGCAGGGAGTATGACAGCATGCATTTACTGGGACATATGGCTAATTAATGACTATCTAGACACTATCTTCTGGAAGACTATACACCAAACCATTGTATTAACAGCAAGCAAAACACCATCTGGCAGCAGGTCACAGACTATGGGTAATTGTTCTCTGTAACACTGTGAAAAAGACAACGTGATTTTATATGAAGGATTTCCGCACACGTATTGTTTGCTTATTATCCAAAAGCACAACAGCTATCAAGATCAACGATGTAACAACTAAATGCTAAATGTACTAATAAGATAAGGCTTAGTTGAATTAATAGCTGTGGGATATGGCAAAGAAGTTTGTAATACCCAAGGCTGGGGTTAATTGAGTTGAATGGTGCAACATCAAACAGAGGGGTCTGGGAGGTATTGAGACCTATAGCTGTCAAAATAAATTGGTTGGGATTTTGAAAAATGACACCATGGCTATTTTTAAATTCAATCTGGACATGATTGATCGAGAGTGACAAAGTTGTCCCACCCGCTGAACATTGTATGGCTGAACTTGCAGTGACCAAAACAAAACTTAGAAAGCCCAAGTAATAGGATAAAACACCAACTTCCTCAGTTTAGTTTTGAGTTGTCAAAGTAAGCCATGTGCGTTATTTGACACAATTATTGTTTTTTTGTTTTTTTTTACTTTTTAACTTTTTTTTACTAATTTGAAATTTCAAAATTGACCACCATGTAAATTGTTGTTGGTGGTTTCCAGTTGATATTGCCTTATCAAATCTCAGGAGTTATACCTCGGAGCTGTTTAGCGAAGCAGTAGACATCAAACAGCTCGTCAGGGGACCTATTGCCGTAGTTTCGCACTCCAGGTGAGTCCTCTCGATCGCCATAGCAACCAGGTCGAGGAGATTGGATGGGGTACCTGCGAGAGACCAAAAAGAGGGGGCATAAACCAAAATCTGAACCATGATCTGAATGGGATTTTTCATCCAAATACATACTTGGTTCAAATGTAACTAAATGTACAATGACTTCACTAATAAAAAACATAATAATGAAAACTAATCTAATCTAAACTAATGAAGCCTATATTTCAGACTTGCAAATGTTTGAATTTCCATTGGGAGTGATCAAATATGTACCTGTCTGTCTATCATTAACAGTTTAGAAGTCTGTCAGATGGAAGAGGAAACACTATAATAAGATCACAGTCACAAAATTATCAGTACGTTTGGAAAGCAATCCTGCAGATAGAACATCTTGTTTTGCTTCTTTAATTACTTTGCCCTCCGTTTACACTTCACAGTATAATTAACCAACAACTTTTTATTTTATTTTTAATGTGTCTAAAAGCTCCTAATTCTCTGCAATTTGTGCAAGCAATGTCAGATCCTTTGTAGCTTAGAGAGAGAAAAGAAAGCATGGGGGGGTTTGGAGGTTGGAAGAGAGAGAGAGAGAGCAGGGAAGAGGTGAGTAGTGGCTTGAGTGGCTTTGTAAGGGCTCAGAAAAACCACAATCTATATTAAGTCTCCAACTGAGCAATTATTTGACAATATTATCGATTGCAAGAGCACAGAGCACAGGCAGAGAGCTGATTAAAAGATTACACTGAGCATGGAGCAGTTATGAAGTGTACAAGAAAACACGCCTCTGACACATAACTTCAAAAATCCAAGTTGGTTTCGCGTGCAAGTGACGAGGCAGCGACTGATGTCTGTATTTTTGCCACACTATTAATTGGACACTTCTATGGGCTGATGTACACTCAAAGCCTCCTGGATGTGCACCAATTAGGCAGCTCCCAAGTGAGAACAAGGGGAGCGTAAAGCAGGAAGAAACTGTGCCGCGGGATGGTTGAGACAGAAAAAAAGAAAGGGAAAAAAGAAATCTGCTTTTCAACTGGAGCAACAATGGTTTGAAATTAAAATGTTGATGTGCTTGACAACAGTGAGATGCTGCAGATGTTAACAGGGACTTAATGGGAGGTGGCAAACTGAAGCCAGAATAGCAGCCTGACAGTTAACCACATTTTGACACTTTGAAACAAGCAATTAGGTTTAATTATGTGGTGTGGCTTTTCATTTAAAAATGGCTCATTATATCAACACTTTTTCATCCAAATTAATTGAGTATATTACACTCAGAAAGCTCACTGAAAACAACAGAACATGGGCTGTTAAAAAGAGCCATTTGGTCTTAGAAAATAATGGAGTGTGTTCAGACCATTCAGTTGTCAGGAGTCACACAATAGAGGTCAATTAATGAACTGTACAACCCACACATCTACAATCTATAGACCCTATATAAGAAACCTGAGGTATGATATAAACAATCTGTTATACTGCATTATGCCACATAATTCATATATGCATAGGATTAAATAATTCAAACAGTGTATAATGCCAACAATTATTTACATAATAAAGCCACAATAGAAGGCAACAACAAGCTATGTTTTTACTTTTCTAAACTGAAAGTAGTTTCTGATTTTTGTGGTCTAACAATAAAGCTGAGTAAATAGATGCCTGGTTAATTGATAACTTTACTTACTACCTACTTAATAAGCACTTAGGGATTTTCTCGCAAAACATCTCCCTAATCATAGCTGGTTACAAAATACATTTTCAGTTGTAAAGCCAAACATTTTCACAGCTGATAGTATTATTCTTACCGCACAGTTTGGTCTGAGAGCCACCCGGCGTCACAATTGTCATAGCCGTCAGCAAATGTAGCCTGCAGCTGACCCGGAGTGGCGATGACCGCGGAGTTCTCCACACACACCCGCTTGGCATCATCAAAGGTCAGAGCGTAACGGTCATGAGGCGCCCGGTAGTGAAACACCACACCTACACAGCAAAAGGTGAAAGGATTTTATGATTATTTTTATGTCAGATTCATGGCACGTAACTATGAACTATTATGTACCATACAAGCTCAGAAACACAATGCCCTCTAGACATTATCATCGTAGTGACATTGTTCGATCTACGCGGGAGGAAACAGCAGTATCCAGGTTCAAAAGCCTCAGTGGTGTGTCTCATTTGCATCCAACACTCGCTCGGCTCATCATTAAAGAGAAAGAGATGTTGCCCTTGGATACAGTGCATGACAAACAGCACCAATGTTTATTTTATTGCTTTAAAAGACAAACAATATTACATCCCGCTACAGTCTGTCACTTCACAAAAGAGGAAGCAATAGGAATATACTGAGAATTAAGAGTTTTAGAGGGCAAGGGACCAAAAGAAGTGCATATATGAAGTACATGCAGACCCAATGCAGTGTTAAAATATAAATAAATGTCATCTTTGCATGAAAACGAGTCAATCATTTGTCTTTGTGTGGTTTATTCTATGCAAGAGAAGGAGCAAAGTAGAGACGAGAGTAGCTCAGGTATCAGAGGGAGAGAGAGCGCCTGGGGCAGTCCTACACTGGGTTATATACAGATAGAGGCTTGTACACAGAGGTCATCATGACTTAAATAATGAGGGAAGAGAGGAATGCCAGTTTTGATGGAAAAGTATTGACTGAAACTGGCACCAGATAATTATGACAGTAAATATTTTTAAGAACATGTTAAAATATATTTTGCTATCACAATCTTTTGCCACCTTTCTTATCATTTTATGTTGATCAAAACATTTCAGTGGAAAAGGTGACATAATACATTTATTTAACACTTCAGGAGTAAAGTCATCACAAGAATTCTGTCTTTCTTGTCAAATTTGCAATTTTTCCTGCTTCTAACACGCCAACATGACTTTGAAATGCCCACTTGCTGCCATTGTAATGACGAATAAATGGTTATGCACTTAAGCTGTCTGTTCTTATACCTGAGCTTCCCCAGATTATATTCCAAGTAAAGGTTTCAAAGGTTTCTAATATTTTGACACCCAACTCTGCCACTTTGTAAAGGCTGCTGCTAGATGACATGAAAACCTGTGGGATACAAACCCTACTTCTTTCTCCTCTTTGACTTGGACCACGGGAGGGACATAAGTACTTGCTAAAGACTCAGTGGCAAGTTCACATTTTGAGTGAAAGGTGCAAAGCAGCACATGCAAACACACTTACCCTGATCCCAGTGGTGTAGTGGTGAGACCATAGATTGTACAAAGAAGTGGACTAAGGGATTGTCACCCACAGTAAGCAGCTCCAGTCAAATGAAGCATTTTACGTATAGGGGTAAATCTGGAGTTGAGTTCCATATTAGGAATCAGAACTTATTTACAGACACAGTAGCAAATTAAAAGCACCAGGATCATGTAGAGCATGTTAATGAACATGTTAAGAACAAAAGGCTCACTGAGGCAGTTAAAAAGAGAGGGGTGATGCGATTTTTCAATGTAAATTCAAATAGAGCCAGTGGGCCCGATTTTGTCCTCAATCTTAGCACTAGTGTTAGCGTTAAGGAGGGGACGTCTCCAGGTCGGGCTACACTTCGCTGCTTCAGGCTGGAGTAAGATGGTACAAGTACATATATGGTGTTGGCATCTGAACCAATCTGTGACCACTGTGGCATTTAAAATCGCTGCCAGTGTGGGTAATATCTGCAATCTTTGCCTCATTATCAGGCAGCAAAGCAGAGTGTGGGGAAGAGTTATATATGTGACAATAAAATGGCTCCAGAGCCACACGTTGCAAGTACGCATGAGGAGAAGCACTAGGAATATAGAATTTTGTATGTGTCATGACAGAACTGACTGAGTTTGTGTTCTGAACACTCCACGTGCACCCCTCTCACGCACCGCTGTAAGCCTGTGCACGCGCAACCTTTTATAATTTTCTCTGCATTCGTTTAAGACCAGTGTCTATCTCATGCGCTCCCCATCCCACAGCAGACCCACTGCTTTCTCACACCCGTCCCACCTGTCCTGGCAGTTCGCTCCTGCATCTCTCACCTGAGGTACGAGTGTCCACCACTGCTATCGTTGACCGCTCAAATTCTCGTCTCACGGGTGTCCACTGCATTTGGTCCCACACAGGTGGAAGTCTCGCAGATTATGGAATACGTTTATTGTCATATAAATGTTTCAAATGTTTCCACTTTGCGCACAAATATCACAGATATTATCACAGATGATCCCTGAGTCCGGCCGCGAGAATGTGAGGAAATCAACATTGCAGCATTAGGACTGCAGACAGGGGAAGAAAACACTTTAGGACATTGCTGTAAACGGCCTCATGTGAACGAGCAGCTTTTGTTCAGATCAAGATCAAACCAAACTATAGAGCAGTGCTGAGCCGAAACAGGGAGCGGGCGACGGGCTGTGCTCTGCTGTGGGAGGGCATCCGGACGGCTCCCGCACTGCACAGGAACCTGTTATGAATGTTAAGCATTTATCATCCTAAGATATTTCCAGATAAAAGAAGCCTTGAGCATGTTACATGTTGTTTTTCAGTGGACTCGTTCAATATATATATATTTTTTTACGAGTCTGGCAATTCACTGAACACGCCATACCACGCCCTCCACGCCCTCCACTTGCGCTAGTGATAAGATCGGGGGCAAGACCAGACCCAGAGTTGAAAGAAACGGAAGGGCCCCCATGCTCAATTCCTACTTGGAACACGGCAGCTAGTGGGTTAGCTATGGCCATTTATATATAAAGTCTATGAGTCAGACATTCTAGTATTTCAGAATCATAACAACAATATGGACTGGCTTTTTTTTTTTTTCTCCAAGGGATATAGTGAAAATAGAGACACTGGCTTTTTGGCTAATATGCTCACTGGAGACAAATATGTCTTGTGCATGGTGTTTTTCACAGTATGGGGAAGCCAGGCTCAGGCTATACCACTGGAGGCTTGAGTATAGCCAATAGCTCATTGCTCTATTTTTACCCTGAAACTCCTCACATATTGACCCAGTCTCCAGAGAGAGGAGTAGGAAGGTACCATTTATGACGGCATGATGTCCTCATTGTAGCCCACTAGAAACTGGAGGCTCTCAGACAGAAGCAGTAATGCACTGTGCACCCCACTTTACAATCATTGTGTGCTATACAGCAGAATCATATTTGAAATCCACAGGGGGACTGTGTAGAAGCAACACTTGGGAAATAAGGGATTCAGTCACACCTACTACTAATGTGCTGCACTTGTTAACTATTGCTCAATGTTATGGTAATAATCACCCCAAAGGAAAGTCATTAAGTTTATTAGAGAAAGAAAATAAACCAAACTGTCACATTTTGAGTAAAAGCAAAAATTGTGTGCTTCAGAGTAGAAAGATTTTAGATTATTTTAAATAAGATACATTGGGATAAAAGCTAAATTACAGTGTTACTTGTGATGTACTTTTGGTGTAAAGCACTTCTTTCTACAGATCAAAACGTGAAAAATTTAGCAACCCTAAATGTTGATCTTTTTCAGTAGCTTTCTTAGTTGTTTTTTTTTTTATTGAAGGGGCAAAATGGGACAATTATTCAGCACTATGCTGTATTGACTTTCTATGGATTTGCTCTGTGACGCTGAGATATTAAATAACCAATACATTGTCCGGATTCCTCACAATAGATAACAAAAACATTACATTATCCTGCCAGTAAACCATAGGGCTGGGTTTGTTTTGATTGACCATATACAACTGTGACTGCTGCAATCAATGGGATCACAGTTTCCAATAGGACTTTAAAACCATCTGTTGTCCTTATAACAGTTAATAGTTGGCAGTCATACTTCTGCACATTCTCCTCTGACACATACAATCAATAATTTGTATTCTAATTGGAGAAACAAACCAATGCAGTGCTCAATACATAGAAAACAATAGCTTATATATTACAGAGGAGTGTGCATGTGAGAAATGTGGTATTGATATAGCTAAGGAGTATCAGTACCTGTTAATTAATACATTATGCACTCAGAATTAGACATGCTTTTGGTCTGCCATGTTGCAAGCCTGTCAATTAAGACTAAACCCAGGAGATGGCTACTCCTCACCACCGCCATAATTGGTTTCCCTCTAAAGGAGCGGTTTTCATGCCACGCAAATCGATTGGCCAAGAAAGGAAGGACGCAGGGGTCTGGCTCACAAAATACAAAGTGCTCTTATGGGATTCTTAGGGTAGTTCTCAGGTAGTTTCATGTTGCAACAACCAAACAAACTTATTTACTAAGTAGGGGTGTGATTGATACTGAAATTGATATTTGGATTTTTTTTTTTTTAAGTGTGCATGCATTAGTATAAGCATGTATTTGTTTCTTTAATAATTATGACAAATCATATAAAATGCAATACACTGATTATTACAGTAAAGTTAATGGTATTGTATGTCATGTATTATTATTATTAGTGACCCTGTAACTAACCACAAGGGGATTACTGAATATGAGCTGATGAAGCTAAAATATGCTGTAAAAGAATGAGGCTGAAAAGCTCTTGAGCCTTTTCTTGTTACTCATGCCAGCTGCATTAGCCCTGGTTTGATCTGAGCCAAAGAGTGTCCAAGCGTAGGGCAATTCCCAGGGGCTATTATGAAAAGAGATCATTATTATTAAAAATAGGGACTGACCTGGAAAAAAGTTGATGATCTGCTCTTAAAATACTCATATAATTTTACAACGGCAAATATGGTGTCCTGGATTCAGATACTGCCTTAAATGAGAGTAACATATAGTGGTGCTTCTACCTTATTGGTTTTATTAACGGTTCAATGCACAAGCAGAGCAGCCCAGGTCAATGATGTTTAATGCGTGCTTGTTCTCCTAACCTTTTGCCCATCATCATACATTTTACAGAACCACTGGACTGTATGTAATAGCTGTTTAAGGCTGACATGGAAAATAGGGTGATTATTATTCATAGTGGCATAGCATGAGAGCCATAAGGGAGCTGTACACACGCAAGGCAAGGGTCTGTTTGCTTAGACCAGCCTTTTTGTGGATAAAAACACAGTTGCATGGCAGTTGAACAAGGTTAATTGGGTTGTTTGACTCCCCTATTGTGGCTAGAGCAAAGTGAGTATGCTAGTACATGATAAGGCACAAAAGCAGGAGTTGTTCCTACCAGAAGCTACTTAAACATTAATGGTTTATACTTTATCTGGTAGGTAGGTTAAGTATATAAAGGGGACGATATTACATACTTAATAATAATAATTTCCACTTCTATTCAAAATATCTCACCATCACTGGCACACAATATAGGATAAGGATAGGATTTCAAATTTTTTCTTTTAACTCCTCACAAAGAAGTCTATTACACATTGACTTAAACTGGATTGTTATTGGGTGAAAGTAATGGCAGCTGCTAAAACATATGAGAAATTAAATAAACCTTCTGAAACAGGACAACTTTATTATGTGAAATTGGCTGTTGATTATCAAAATTAGTGCATCAGTGTATTTACCTGTGACTTCCAGGGGCACTGTGTCCTGCTCATCGTTGATTCCCACTACAACCTCACAGCGGTACAGCCCTGAGTCACTGGAGCGCAGCCCGGTCAGAGCCAGAGACGCATTGTAGCGGTTCTCATTGTAGCCAGGCAGGGATACACGGCCCTGGAAAGCCTTTTTTACCTGAACAAAAAATAGACACATTTGAACAATTCAACTAATTATACATTAAATACTACAACATATTTAAAGTCTGTACTATATTTGCTGAACTTTGCTCCCCACTCATCACCTTTGTATCACTCTTTAAAGTCCTATATTAAACAAAAAAGACTTGCGGGCTTTTAGCCATGTTATAATGTTGTTACCTCATCAAAAACATAGCTGTTGTGTTTCCTTTTATTCACACATGTTTTACTAATCCTTTATTATTAGTCTGTCTCCAAAGCTCAAAATGCTCAGTTCCAACTAGTGCTGTCATGAAGCAGCAGATTTCAAGTTAACAACTACCTTTCACTTTTTGTTCAGTTGAGACTGGCAATTCCAGGGCTGAAATTATATGCCAAAATATGCAGGGTTTTTGTGTTAAACATGTGTGTCTGAATGAAAAAAAACACAACTCCAGGTATGTTTTGGTAAGGAAACATCATTATAAGGTAAAACATAGCCTAATATGGAACCCTGGGGGAAGAAATACATCTCAAAATAAAATGTGACTAATATCATGTTTATTACTGAAGAGAAAGGATCATATTCTTAGGAGCCACCAAAATACTCAGCATATTAAGTGTCATGGAGTCCATACCTTGACCACATTATCTTTGGCCACCAGCACAGACTGCTCCTTCTGCAGGCCATCCGAGCCCCGCTGACCCCACACTTTGGTCCACTTGATCCTGGGGGGCTCATGGGAAAAGCTGGCCCCTGGACGCAGAGTGAAGAGGCAGGGCAGAAGCACTGTTTTGGACAGCTCCTCTGTGATGGTCTTATGGGTCACCTTTCTCATATTTACCACAGTGTCCCCTCCAGTGAGTCCTGAAATGAAAAAGAACAAAACAATAGGTTGTTTTTAGTCATCAAATTCTGAAGGCTAGTAGTGTGACGTTAAGCTATAATGATACACAATTTAAATAAGAATTGTTCTGCTACTCAAAACCACATTGCCAATAAAGACATATTGAACCTGCAAAACTTGTTACAGCACCGTAGCATCCACTCTAGTATGGTATAAGATGAAATAAAAGTTCTTATTTTATTGTTCATTGACCCAACATGACCATCAAAATATATAGCGTGGAGGAAAAAAATTTAAAAAATGTAAGTTGGTGCATTGTGGATTGTCTGCTTGGAGATCACTTTTGGAGATAGTGTATAGTAGTAGTAGTAATGCTTCATCTGAGTTTGACTACAAATTCTACAAAATGTTCCTTAATCGTTTTCCCTTCTTGTACAAAAGTGATTGGTTGATTGCTTTCATCTATGGCGACAGGTGCTTTCCTTCTTCGTATTTCTGTTCATCTCATCTTCCTGGTAATAGAGCAAGAGGAAAAGAGCAAAGAGGCTCATGGTGGCGGTCTGATTATTGGTCATTGATCGGGCAGACTATTACTGCACTGGCTCAACAGTGGGAGGCAGGGTTACATCCAGGAGGGAAAGATATCAGAAGTCTTTTCATAAGCCATACATCAAACCTGGATATGCATTGTGAAATCAATACCTCCACCGGCTCTTGGAAGCTTTAAGGAGCTCTTTCGCAGACACAAATATAAAACCCACAGTTATGAGACTGCAAGAGGGAAGCGCACTCACATTCCACTATAAGTTTCTATAAGTAGCATTAGCTCTTCTTTTTAAGAAGATGGCGTGGTCAGTCTGAGCTATCAGCCAGGTCCATCAAACTGACCATGCCTACAGGAAATAATAGCAGATGATACAACACATCATTACCAACACGTTGACAATTCTGGAGATGGTTTGCAGATAGCAGCCGAAAAATTTTAACAAGGTAAATAAATCTCCTACTATATTGTCTTTAAAAAGAACCCAATGTGCTAATGTATATAAGAAGACAAAACAACATGGACTTTGATTGCCTTAGGGTGCAATCACACTTGTCCATGTTGGGTCCTGGTGTGAGTCTGTTTAGTCCTGATGATAGGCCTGGTTTGGTTCTGTTCTAGCTCTGGTTTAATCCTGCCAAGTGGTTTAATCCAAGTTTAATTCCAAATTTAGGTTCAGTTTAGGCACAATTTTGATGTGGTCTATGTGCAAGTGTGTACCTTTACTTGAAAAAATCCATCATGATACACTAAAACTAGCATTCATACAGACAAAATTCCAATTAAATACCATTAAGACATTATGTCAGGAAGAAAATATGTTATTTAGATTATCAGTAGACTACATAAATCAAATTAAAATCAATTACTAACAGCACATAATTCCTTGTAATTCCTCATTTATTGTTTTATTACTCTGCACTGGACTTTTTTTCCCAAACTGTTTCATCATTTAGTTCTACTTTCTTCTTTCAAAACAACCAACTTCCCCACCTTATATGATAGCTTAACATTATCACTGCATAGATTTATCAGCTTTCTATCATTATCGAGGGAGAAGAGAAGCATTTCCAGAGACTGTCCCAAAATAGTACCAGCAGAAAGATAATACTGCATCAAGCAACTGCGGAAATGTGGTGTCAAGCTTTAAAGAATAAGGAAAATACAATAGAATAAAAACCAGTGCAGGGTATCAAAGCATGAGGGAGTTTGGAAACAAGACGCTGCCTATGTGGGCTGAGGAGACAGTCAAGGAAAGAACTAGTCTACGGACTTTTTACTCCTTATTACTGTCACTTCAAAACAAGGCAGCATTTACAACATTCTTCACCACTTTTGGTTTGATTGGACGCACATTATAGCAGGCTAGACCTCAAAGCGTAATTAAATAGATCAGTAGAGGAATATATTTTATACAGAAGCAGTTGTGGATGAAAAGTTTTCATTGCCATTATTTATAAATCAATTTACCATTTTCTTTATCTCAAGCCACAAACTGGGATTGTAATATTTAGAGGTGATGTGGAGGTGTGTCTCAGTGCTGACGTGCTGTATTCCTCCATGTTTATAAGTGAACCTTCAGCCTCGGTTTCTTCCGTTTTTGATTGTCATTAAATGTTCCCAACAGTGCGCTGCATATGCTAACTGTACAGCTGTGTTATCAATAATGCAGTCTAATCCACCTGTGCTCTTCTGCTTGATCGCTTATTAAAAGTATTGCAATATGGCATGAGAAACTTATATTTGGCTCTACATGAAAGTATGTATTTTTATTTAGCTTTTTACCACATATATTCCAAAACTTTGTGTCTGATGTATTAAATAAGAATACTAATTAATGATTATTATTTTTGTGATGATCTTCTACTCTTAGATTATCTGCTATTTTCCAAAGAAATATCCAAAAATGCTGAAATTGATCAATTAAAAAATACAAAAAATCTATTTATGAACATTGTATCTGCCCCCCATCTGTTTTGATGCTGTGTTTGTTAGATTTGCAGTCATATTTTCTGTTGCTTTGAATATACTGCATGCACAAAAACATAATTCAGGGTTAATTAAGAGGTAACAGGGCAGTGTACTCAGTCAGTTCCAAACTGTATGAATGAACTTTAGTTTGAAATATGTGTCATATTTTTACCCTCATGTTAAATAGGTGTTTAGCCAACCCCAGAAAGAAAAAGCTAAATGCATTTAACTAAAACTTTGAAGATCTTTCTTGGTAAATAGTGCTGTCTGACCTTTTTGTGTTATGCATGAATGTGTATAGTTGTAATGCTTACAATTTGATCCTACAGACTACAGAATGGCTTTACTTTTTCATTACTTGGAGCTTTGTCTGCACAGTGTTGAGTTAGATGAGTGCTTGGTAAAACGCACTCTGAAGCGAAAACATCTCATCTCTCATATTTTATTCATGGGACACTAAACCCTCCGCATACACTCACCTACACACGCACAATTTAATGCCACCATTCATTTCTTACTGGATACCTAATGTTCCTGTAAGATGAAAGTATGGGTGTGAACTGTCAACGCTCACTCCACACAAGACCTTTACAGTGGTTTGAGATGAGAGCCGGGGAGCCTCTTTCTGATAGCTGAGCATCAGTCCTACCATCACATCTCTCCTCCCTAAAGACACATAAACGTACATAATTTTCCCTTTTCTGCCCAGCCTCTCTCTCCCTGTCCACCTCACTAGCTCAACTCGGTCCATGTGGCAGCATCAAACAGGATTTGTGCTCTGAATAAGGCCCACGTTCTGCACTTGAAAGTGGTTCAGGTCCGTGGAGTGTAGTGACCTGTAAAACTAAATGCAGGCAGAATATCACAGGCTTAAAAGGCAGTAAGAGGCTAGGTGAGGAATACATAAGTAAAGGAGACCAGGGAGCTAACAACACGTCCTTCATGTTGACATTAAAAGTTTAAAAGGTTTGTTATTTTGAAGAGTATCTGAATGTGCCATTATTCATTTGTGATTGTGACAGGTGATGGGCTGTGCACCCTATGTTACCAGATGGGGCTTATAAAACACTGTAATCCCAGTGACTGCCCCAAAATTAATAGACAGTATATTAGACATAAACACAAATTTGGATATGCTAATTAAGTTAATGTTTTAAGACACGCAAAACCAATGCTGGTATTGATATCAGCACTAAATAGGCTTAATCAGTGAAACTAGGATACAGACAGATATATGACTTTCTTTGGTCATGCCATTACAAACTATGTTAAAAGCTGTAAACAGCTAGCGTAGCTGTAGGTTTACGTGTCAAGAATTGGTTAAACAACAACATGAGTCATCCATGTTATTGCCAACTCCATAATATGCCCTGTGATACAAGAAGGGGTCAAGAATAAAATACATTATCATTTTAAAATGTATTTTCACTGCAGATAACAAATGGGCAACTACAGAGTTGGTAGCTCAAGAAAGTGTGTAAAATAACCAGTGTTGGGAGTAATGTATTATAAAAGTAATGTATTACAGTAATGCGTTGATTTTTGCTGTAACGCAGTAATGTAAGGCATTACAGGGGGAAAAATTGTAATATTTTACTCGGTACAAATGTGAGTAACGCGCGTTACAATGCTTTTTTAACCTGGATTGAAGTGGTGGGTTTTTCTTCATAGAAATTCGCTAAAATCACCGTGAAATTAGCAGCGGTGAAACGCCGGAGACGCGGCCGGATAGACCTTCAGTTAACCGCGGGTGAAAGGACCGACCCAGAACTCTGCGCTGTTTAGACCTGGTTTAGACCTGGGTCACTTCTGGTTTAGACCTGGTTTAGACCTGGGTCACTTCTGGTTTAGACCTGGTTTACAGTCGTCCCTCGCTCTAACGCGATTCACTTTTCGCGGTCTCGCTGTTTCGCTGATTTTTAGAATTTTTTTTTGTGCAATTTTGCATGCCTTTTGTTTTTAGTGTATGAACACGTATTGCGATCCTCCCGCTGTGTCCTGATCGGCTAAGGGACTCCTGTCTACTGTACAGTACAGTACAGAATATGTTCAGCTGCCAAATTTAAATAAATGTTCAATCTCTAGCAGTATGATTCTGAAGTGCTGTATGTCTGCAAGGTTTCTCTCCGACAAAATCCACAACGTCGACGAAATGTTCTGCACCGACAAAGTCTCCTGCGCTCACACCCAAAAGACAGAGGACGATGCAAACCATCACACAAAAAGTTGGACTTCTGGACACGTTGAAGGAAGGTAGAAGTTACGCGCTGTAGCAGAGTTTTGCACCGGGTCTTGTACCCGCAAATAGTTGCTGAAATCAGGACCGTGAGCCCGCGCAGCAGGGTCCATAAAGAGCGATCAGGCGACAGCCGCTCTTACCTCCATGAGGTGCGGAGTCCTTTCTCCTGCGGTCTCCTTCGAGCCCGTCCTGACAGTGAGTCCTGTTTTAGTCCTAGTTCAGTTCTGGTTTAGTCCTCCTCTTCAGTCCTGGAATCAGTCTGAGGT